TTCTTTATGGTCCAGCTCTCACTTCCATACATCGCTACTGGAAAAACCATAACTTTGACTATGCAGACCTTTGTCGGCAAGCTAATGTCTCTGCTTTTTACAATACTGTCTAGGTTTGTCATTGCTTTCCTCCCAAGAAGCAGGCGTCTTTTAATTTTGTGTCTGCTGTCACCATCTATAGTGATCATGAAGCACCAGAAAGTATAATCTGTCACTGCCTCCATATCTTCCCCTTCTATTTGCCAGGAAGTGCTGGGGCCAGTGGCCATGATCTTAGTTTTTTTTTAATGTTGAGCTTCAGACCATTTTTTGCACTCTCCTCTTTCACCCGTATTAAGAGGCTCTTTAATTCCTCCTCACTTTCTGCCATCAGAGTGGTATCATCTGCATATCTGAGGTCGTTAATATTTCTTCCAGCAATCTTAATTCCATTTTGGGATTCATCCAGTCCAGCCTTTTGCACAATGTATTCTGCATATAAGTTAAATAAGCTGGGGGACAATATACAGCCTTGTCGTACTCCTTTCCCAATTTTGAACCAATCAGTTGTTCCATATCCAGTTCTAACTGTTGCTTCCTGTTCCCACATATAGATTTCTCAGGAGGTAGATAAGGTGGTCAGGTACTCCGATTTCTTTAAAGATTTGTCATAGTTTGCTGTGGTCGACACAGTCAAAGGCTTTTGTGTAGTCAATGAAGCAGAAGTAGATGTTTTTCTGGAATTCTCTGGCTCTCTCCATAATCCAATGCATGTTAGAAATTTGGTCTCTAGTTCCTCTGCCCCTTTGAAATCTAGCTTGTACTTCTGGGAGTTCTAGGTCCACATACTGCTGAAGCCTACCTTGTAGGATTTTGAGCATAACCTTGCTAGTGTGTGAAATGAGTGCAATTGTATAGTAGCTGGAGCATTCTTTGGCACTGCCCTTCTTTGGGATTGGGATGTAGACTGATCTTTTCCAATCCTCTGGCCACTGCTGAGTTTTCCAAACTTGCTGGCATATTGAGTGTAGCACCTTAACAGCACCAGCTTTTAAGATTTTAAATAGTTCGACTGGAATACCATCACCTCCACTGGCCTTTTTGCCAGCTATGCTTTCTAAGGCCCACTTGACTTCGCTCTCCAGGATGTCTGGCTCAAGGTCAGCAGCCACATTTTCTGGGTTGTCCAGGATATCTAGATCTTTCTGGTATAATTCTTCTGTGTATTCTTGCCGCATCTTCTTGATGTATTCTGCTTCTGTAAGGTCACTACCATTTTTGTCCTTTATCATGTCCATCTTTGCATTAAATGTTCCTTTAATATCTCCTGGACAATGTTACGAGCCTCTGTCCAAAGTTCTTCAGGCACTCTGTCCACCAAATCTAGTTCCTTAAATCTGTTCTTCACTTCCACTGTGTATTCAGAAGGGATTTGGTTTAGATTATACCTGACTAACCCAGTGGTTTTTCCTACCTTCTTCAGGGTAGGAAACTTTATAAAGAACTTTATAAAGCAATCTCAAAATATAAGATAATTAAAACAATTTAAAATCAAGGTGCACAAAATAAAAACATTCAAACATTAACAACTTTGCACATGAACCTATGCTGGCCATGATCCTCAACTCAGAAAGGCTTGGCATCAAAATGATGGCAATATCAGTGCCAATCATGCATCCAACGGGAGGTTGGCTCATAATTGGGATGCCATAGGAGAAAAAGTCCTCCTCTGTGTCTCTACATAACAAAGTGTTCTCAGCTTTGGGACACAGAGGAGGAGCTACCTCCCTAGCAGATCTTAGAGATCAGATAGGTTTATATAGGGAGAGGTTGTCCAGCAAATATTCACCCATACACCCACATAAGCAACTTTGCACATCATGCACTGAGAAAGGAAAGTATTTTCAACTCTGTAATGGCAAGCTGTGTGGGTCACTAAACCATCCCTGTCCAGTGCATATCCTCAGCTGCTCATTTGCTGCTCATTTGTGGTGGACCAAATGGGAATATATAAAACTTCTGCACAACCATGGTAGGGATAAAGATTGTACTGAGCACATGGCTTGAGATAATGCTGTGGGCTAGATTGAGGCAGATGTGATTTTCACAGGCTGTACACCTGAATCCAGTGCAGATAACATATGTAAATAATGAACCTGAGGAGGTGGTGGGATAAGGACTATGCTCTTTCCCTGTGTCTGACATCATTGTGTTTCATTTGAATGCCTGAATAGGACTTTGGTTTTGCAAACACCTGCAGTAACACTGAAAGGTGGAAATTGTGAAGAAGAAAATTTTGGGTAAATAGTGTACATTTCCTGATGATGAAACCTGTTTGGCAGTAGAACAAATTGGAGGTTTTTTAGCAGAGGCTGAAACGGTCATTTGCGAGGAATGTTGTAGTTGCCACACTAATACCTTTGTATTAGACAACCTCTGAGATTTTTTTCTAGCTGTAAAATCCTATGATTTTTTTCCCCAGAGGATGGATGCTTACATATACGTAGGTTGGCGATGGGGCAATGAAATTAACTCCTTCCATTCCATGCATACATGGACATGTCTCTTCCGCAGGGTACACCAAGTCACCTTCGGGTTTGTTTCATTTATGCAATCACTAATATTTTTGAAATCTGCAAAACCTTGCAGTGTAATGCTTTTCTTGTAGTCAGTAGTTAACTATCCGATTCACTCTCTCTTTTTTGCAATCAGGTGAAATATTCACGAGTTGATGCACATCCAAGACTATGCATGAAGGTATATATTATTACTTTCTTTTTAAAAATGATCAGTCTGCCTTCCTGATTAGTTAATTTTAAAAATATAGGTTGGGATACATATATATGGCAACACACTAACAGAAATTAAATTTTGAACCCTCTATCAAAAACGTGCTAACTGAGGAGAAAGAAGGGGAGAAACATTTAACATGTCTGTGCCATGTCAAAAGCCATGGTCTTCCTTTTCAGTTTACCCATTCCCTTAGTGGCTGGTTATACCACTAGAACTGACATAATCAAAAAAGAATTGACAGTTTCAGAAGCAACTGAGGAAGCATTTACCTTATGAATGGTGCATTAATTCCAGTTGAATTATTTAGCTTATTGGGAAGAACATTCCAATCATAAGGCTGCAATCTTAAACACATACGGCATTAATAATTAAAAGGAGAAGGCCTTATTTTTGAGTAACCTTGTTAGGATTTCACTGTGTTCTGATTTTGGCTGTGACTTAAATCAACATGTTATGGATCATTCTTCATATGTTTCTGTTTAAGGGTTATTAATAGGCAACATGTCTGATATGTCTTTAAAAAGTGTTTTTAAAAACCCTATTTTTTTTTTAAAAAAAGGAAATAGTGTTAGATATAGGGATGAGAAAAATAATTATTGAGAGCATAGCTGGGAAATTAAACCTTTCCCTCCAACAGCATTCCTAGAAGGAATCTCTGAACCTGGTATTTTATTTGAGTTAAAAGTCCTCATTGGTACTAATGGAGGATTTCCTTACAATGAAAATTCCAACTTCAGAAGAGGGATTATTCCTCAAGACTAGTGTAGGTGATGAAACATTAATTTCTTCTCTCCAAATGCTGTGGTCCTGGTTAATTATCCATGCTTCCCAGCTGATGTTTGTTTTATTTTAAGAGTACAATATTCCCTTTCAAACATTGTAATGAATACAATGTAGGGTGGTACAATATTTATTTATTTATTTATTTCTCTTCACTTTATGTAGAAAGGGTTCACGTATAGAAAAGCTGCATGCATGCTGCTGTATATTCACGGGGCTTTCTACAGGTGGGGAATTTGTAGTCCATAGGCTGCATGCAGCATGCCTAGGCCAACCCTGGGCCCTTCTATTAGTCTCCAAATATATTTCAGCCTCCTAATGGAGATTGGCATCTCCAGAACACCAACAACCCCCCCCCCGAAGTTTGGAATTGCTTCTCTGGTCACATTGGGTTTTGAAAAAAAGGGATGGATGCAGCCAATGGAGGTCTACAGGATGCTTACAAAATGGGCAGGTACAACACACTGTTGACCATTCCTGCTTTAGGAATTATAATGAATACCCAGTTTATGGGGTCACAGCTTACTGCTACAATACCAATGCTTTCTTCCCCAGACATTTATTAAACCCTGAAAATGGCTTTAGAATCTAATCCTATAGATGTTTGCTTGAAAGTGCTGTGGGCTTACTCTGTAGTATGGTGATTGAGCTTGTAGCCGTATCTTCTTATTGTACTGATCCTGTATACGGCACAGTCATTTTGCACATGGATAAAGTTATAGTTCCTTGGCCTTCCTCCATCACTCTGCTACATAGCAGCAGGCTGAAACTCTGTAGGATATGTATTCATTTCTAGCAGGAATGGGCAACAGTGAGTTGTACACACCCCATTTTACCACCCCTCCCCAGGATGTCCATAGGCTACAAATGTGATTGCTTTAAAAAAAGAGTTACTGAATACTTTTTCTTTAAAATCATTTATAGTTTACAAATAAGTATGGATCTTGGGTGAGATGTCCATTTGGTCATGAAAATTTCCAAGGTAAAATGTTGATTACTTTTACGAATACCTTCTTATTTTATTTGTTTGATTTGACTTTAATCCGGCCTTTACTCACAGAAGTCCAGAGTGGCTTACAGTCTCCATAAAAGCACACTTGACAATACATCCCCAAAACCCTTACATTTGCAAGTGATTATGTGGACTAGCAGTAGCTTTAGTATGCTTAGCTGTTTTGCATGTATTAAAGGTGGGCAATATGTGGCTCTCAAGATATTACAATACTACAGTTCCCATAATTTCTTACCATTAGGTACACTAGCTAGGGTTGGTTGAGGTTTCAGTCCAGTAACTGCCAATCCCTGGTCTGCACCTCTCAAAACATGGTTTGTTGTTAAGTACAGATTTGATGTACCCATGGATAATGGAAGGGTGAATTATAGCCTTTTGCAAAATCTAATGTGAAACATCCCTCTTTCAAGTTTATTAAGACCAGGTGCTTATTTTTGTAGTGCCTACATTCAGCTATGTTTAGTATCTATTGAAACTGCATGTGAGAATGGAATATTCAGAACCAGATTTCTAGCTGCTAACACATCTGTCAGTCATGCTGCTGGTCAAGATGTTATCAGCGTCAACCTGGAAATGCATAGAGGCTACCAGTGGAGAAACTGTAAACCTGTGGGTGTTCTCATTTCCTTTGTGAGAACAAGGAACATCATTTTTTGCTGATATATCAGCAAATTGTGTACAGGATTTGCATCTTTCCATTTGTGAAGCAGGATACATATGTATAGCAAGCACAGAAGGACTACTTGCCTGGTTTAGCTAGGATCACATATCAATTGCATACATTGATTTTCTTCCTCCTGTTTCAGCTTGGAAAATGAGACTTGCTGTGATGAAGGAACAGATAGAAGTTTCCTTCACATCACACCCTGAGGCACAGTTTTCAGTCATTGTGTGTAACAGGACTGAATCATCTTCATGCAATTCTACAGGAATACACCAGCTGATACCAGTGGTTTGTACAGTATTTTGTTTTGTCAAATTATCTCAGTGAATTGCGTATGTTGAAGATATGACTGCCAGATCTTGTTCAGGCAAACGTCAGTGAAGCATAATCTGCTGCAGAACTATTGAGGTCAGCAGAAAGCATCTACATTGTCAGCATCAGGGCAAGGAATATGGGGCCTTCCCATATGGATGTGAAAATCAACCAGTCCTTACTTGATTTCACTTCTTTGAATCTTACCTTATTTTTTTCCCTTGACCTTGTCCTCTACAAGGTTATAAGAAAACCCAACGATATGTGAATGCTTTCATTCATAAATTCACAGATCACGCATTGGATGCATTAATTTTGTTTTTTAAAAAACCCAGCTTAATGAGCCTTGTATTCCACCCCTACTCTTCAGGTATTGTTAGACTCCAATTCTCATCAACCCACACCATTGGTTGTGGTGGCTGGGGAAAACGAGGCCAATACCTGGAGGGACATGCATTCTCTATCCCTGCTTTATTTGACTAAACTTATTTCTCCAAACAAAGGCTCATTAAAAAACAACAACCAAGGAACAATGAGAAACAACAAGTTTGTAGCCAAGATTTACTGTGAAATGGGGCATCTAATTAAAATAATAAAAACATCCAATATGTTGTTATGAAACCAATACATTCTGCATAGCTACATTATGTTAAGAGATAATGTCGATTTTGGATTCTGATCTTTGGTTTCTAAGCAGCTTACCTTACATCTTTTCACAGGAACTTAACAATGAACAATAAACTGTTCCTAAGGAAACACTTGTTTTCTAACAATAGTGCTGCATGAAGGGTTGCATTTTTAATTTTTTTTAAGTACCATTTCTTGAAAGAATGATTCATTGATTAGAGTTTGCTGTGTTTAAGTGTTCAGTGTATTTCTAAAGAAAGGCACCAGCTGACATGTACGTGCATGGATGCTCATACCTGCCTCTCCCAAGAGCACTCCTCTCTATTCCACTGGGCACTAGAAGGGAAGAAGCTGCTGCCCAGAGATATCATCATGAAGGATAGAACTTCTGCTGATACAAATTATTGCATTTTGTGAGGCAGCAGAATGACGAGAATGGCCAAAAAAGGCCAATGAGGAAGACTGCACATCTTCCTTTCCTTGGAGACAACTTGTTTTCCTCTTTGCCTTTTCTAGGATGGCTCAAGTTCAATCTCCCTCAACATTTCAAGGAAAATGTGTGATCCAGACCTCTGCATTCAGGTACATCTTCTGTTTCTCAGATCTCTTCTGCACCACACAAGTAATAACTAGCAGGAGAAGCTTAATCTCCTCCTCTTCCTGTGCTGTCCATGACTGACACAGCTGGGGTTTGCAAAGAGATGAATTGTTTAGATGTGCTGCCATTAACTCAAGCAATGCTTTAATAAACTTAATTAGTGCATGGAAGCAGCACATTACAAAATATTAATGTTACTGATAATGTGTTACTTTGGGGCAAGATGAGCACATAGACGTTCCTTTTAAATACAAGCTTTAATGTTAACACTCTGAAAGTGGCAATTTTGCTTCCAAAAACATTAATAGCAATGTGTTGCCTCTTCTTGGAAGTAATGCAACTGTGTCCTAGACATAATTTTTAAAATAACACTCCAAACTCTGGCTTTAGTTGCTCATTCAGGTTCATGATACCTGAATATATTGTGCATTGCAACAGAGAAAGCCATTTTCTCCAGCTCATCCAAGGACTGAAGACAAAGTCAGAGTGAATTGAGACATCTTGGCTCTTAATCATCCCTGGTATTCATAAAACTCTGGAGCTTTAGCATGGCATGTTCTGGCTTCATTACACTGAATGTGTGTGGCTGCCTTTGTATGGGCAAGACCCTTTTTGTCTACTAAAGTTCGTTTTTCTTTAATAAGAAAACATATTGTTTTTTCCACTTTAAAATATTCTGAAAATTAGAAGCTGCCATTCCAAAAAAAGAGGGGGGGGGAGCAGGAGCAAGCAAATGACTACTACATATTAAAGATGTGCCAAACACCCAGATTTTCTTGCCCTCAGCAAAAATGAGTGTCTTGTGACATCCTGATGCCTCATTGAACTGTTGTGATATTTTTTGCATTTTTATGAGAATGAAAAAAAAAATCAAGGCTTTCTCTTCTCCAGAGCAAAGGCACATTCTAGGTTTATTGCTGAAATAACATTCATACTGTATTTTGTACTAAAATTGTACTTTGGATAATAAAACTTGAATTTTTTTGTGCAAAAACATTCAGCTTTTTTCTTTCAAAAAAGGCCTGAAATCTGAAAAAATGCCACAAGAACTCTCATAGGCTGAAATCTTGTTGACCAGGTTCTGTGCTGGCTGAGGGATTTGGGGGGGGAGGTTGTTCTCGACAACAAAAATAAGAACAAGACAGGTCTTCCAAGCAGTCCTCTCTTGCTTGCATATTACAGTCAATATGTAGGATGGGGCTAAAAAAACAAAAAACAAACGTGTTTGCCTATGTCTCAGCTTGAGAGGAATTGTCTGAGGTGTCCAAATAATGCCAGAGGTCCTTGAGGCCAGACTTTGAGAGCCATACACACCAGACCCAAACATGTTTGCCTATGTCTCAGCTGGAGAGGAATTGTCTGAGGTGTCCAAATAATGCCAGAGGTCCTTGAGGCCAGACTTTGAGAGCCATACAAGGGGCAGCCTTTCACACCAGATATGGCCACTAGGTACCTAGTTCTATATTTCACCTTATTGTGTGTCTTCCTTGAGACTTGAATTCTCTGGGGAGAAACACAAGGGAAGCAGATGCTCAGAAGACAAGAACTAGTTACTGAGCATTTTGTGGAGTCCGTGCAATGGATTTATTTATTTATATTAAATATTTATAGATCATGTTCTAATGTCAAACAAGGCATAGGCCCTATCTTTAAAGATGTTAAGCTCAGAAAGCAGTATTTGAATCTTAGTCATTATGGTCCAGATCCAGTAGTGAGCTTCTACATCCAGTGCTCCTTCCTGCTCTCCAGAGCTGTTTTTTAGAGTGTACAGGGGACTTCAAGAGGAAGTGGCAAGCACTGGTTCTGAAGGAAATGGAGAGATCCAGAAGGACAACATTGGATTTTGGCTTCAGGCTACACTTATCAAGGACCCCATCAAATTGAAGAGGGTTTACTTCTAAATAGCAAAGCAAAAAATTGCACCACCAATAACCATCTAAAAACCAGTGGAATTATCTGAAAGAAAAAGTACACAAACAATAATTCTCCCTGGGTTTAGAGCTGTGTACTATTGAAAAGAGATTTTTACAGAGATTCTGAGGTAAAATAGAAACATCTGGTATTAAAAAGGAAACCAAAGTAGACTTGCTTGGAAGCCTTGAAGATTATTGTTCTTGACAAAATTGTAAATAAAGTGCATTTAAACAGATCATTTCCTAACAAGGTGCACTTTTTTGTTCTTGTTTTTAAATTTGTGGATATGAGTAATAATGAAACGTCATTAGCTTTTTTAAAGGACTACTCTATAAGGAATTAACTGTTTCTTTTATTTTTCTCTTACAAGGGATGGAGGACAGATGTAGACTACTCACTTCCTTCTTACATCTGTGACTTGCCCTGCAGTAAGTGCTGATAATGATGTGCCTGTAGTCTAACGACATGTAAAATAAATGTTGTACAGAAGCAATTCTGGAGGCCAGCAAAGTTCTGGGATTATCCTTTGGTAACTTTGCCCATTTAGGCTGTAAACCTGGAGTGTGAAGAGGAGTAGGTGGCATTGGTTCAAATTCCATACAACTAGGCATGGCCTGGTCACAATTAAGATAGAAGGACTAGGAAAGGTAAATATTGTATTCATCAACTGTGAATGGCAATTACCCATTGAAAGTGAAATGAATTAGAAACTGAATTCAGGGTCAAAGCCTTTCCCCTGGGCCTGTAGAGCCTGGGTTTGGTTAGAAATCATCCAGTGATTACCACCTCCTGAGGACACGAGGGAGTGGTAGTTCTTTTGGACACTTGAGAGGCAGAAAGTCAATCAAGAAAACTACACAGGAAACAAGAGACCAGCAATAAGACACAGTTGTAAGAAATACTTGGTAGAACTTTTTTTTTTTTGGTAGATACAGATGAGAGTTTCAGGAGCAAAGCACTCTCTGCTGGTCCTCTTCTTACACTGGTGTCTCCTCTTTGGTGGGGTAACATGCTGATGGAAGAACTGGAATTTGTAGGGGGCAGCTAAAAGTGGTCAATCATTTTTAATTACCTACAATGCCCTGAACAGAGTGTCACCTTGGAAAAGTTTGGGTAAATAAAATGGTGACTGGCTTGGAGACCCAAATGTTCTGGAGGGGGATTGAGGGGTTAGGGCTCACGTTAATGGTGGGCTTTGCTAAGATGCTAAGGTCCTAATAACAGCCTGAGGCACTCATATGCTGATTGAAACAGCCTACCTTTCTCTTTTCAATTAATTTGCCAATCCCAAGAACCAAGGCAATTGCTATGTGAGATGCTCTAATGAGAGAAAACTCACATACAAGACAAGTGTTTAGTTTCAGATGTATATGTTGAATATTAAAGGAGTGCATTTTTTTTATTTTCCAGTTTCTTCCATTCAGAGCCAGGAACATTATGAGAACTCCTTAAGTATCCTGTCACTTGTAGTATTATTGGCTGTACTTGTGACTGTGATGGCTCTCCTTGGACACAAACTTGTATCAGGTACTAAGCCGGAAAAAGAAAAGCATGAAATCTGAGTATGGAATGAATGTACATATATTACAATAAAGAAACTATAAAAGTGGTAGTTGTTACAGTAGGTCTAATTTAGAATTGGCACAGATATCAAAAAAACCTGCAGATACTCCAGCCTGACTCAGAATGATTTGGGATAGTGTCAGAAACTTTATCACACAGTGATTAAGGGCCAGTGTACCTTGTGATTCTGACCTATTGTGGTTCCACAGCAGTTTGCAAATGAGAATTTGCATCAGGGTTTATGAGAACTGGTAGTTTTTGCTTCTCTTCAATTTCCTCTTTGGATGTTACGATAGCACTTGTCCCCTCCGCCTGATAGAGTTTCTAACAGTGTTAGAATGTTATTCTAATAGCTATTTCCTGTTCAAAGTGCAATGTCTGGATTGTTCTACAGCTGTAATAGTTGTAGTATGGAGCCTATTTATAGTTTGCTTTATTATCTCCTAATTGTGGCAACAGTAGAATATCCCGCACATGAAGTAAGAGGAAGCAGAAAACGAGAATTGTGGCTGGTATCGTTTGATGGTATCTTTTTGCTATATATTATGAATTAAAAAGAGGATGTATTGGAGAATGACAGCTATCTTCATTTGTAGCAGAAGGCAAGCACTTTTTCATATGGTGTTTCAGGCCTGCAATCTCACTAATTTGTGAAGAACAAATATGCCCTATCACTGTCCCATGAATAAAAGCAGCTTTACATTTAATGTTGTAGTTAAGCAAGCATATCTATCAAGGGCCACTTTTCTGGTTAATCAGTTGCTCAAGGGCGCTGCACAAAAGGGGATTGGCTTAAGCGGAAGGAACAGAGATTAGTGGACGTTTTCTGTTATATTTCATTAAAGCCAGACATTTCTAAAAGCTTGAAAGAGCACTTCAGACAACTGTGTTCTGAACTGCAGCAAGATGAGGGCTAATTGTTTTTAAAATGGCCAGTCTTATTATTATTTTTTTCCTGTATGCTGTAGCACAATCACAGACATTGTAGCACCTACGTTGTAGGTAAATTAACAAGGTGCTCTTTGTGTGTCAGCTTGTTCACTGGTTGTGTGACCAGGCATGTGCTCAGGTGCCTTATTAATTCACCTCAATTAAACTTTGCACGTCCCTATATTGTGCTAACTTGTATGGAAAAAACCCTAGATTTGGCCTATACTGTATATTTAGAGCAACTAATAAGACAGAAAAATTGAAACATCAAGAAAAGCACTATTGTTGTAACTTTGTGATGGCATAACCCACCTCAGGCACTAGAAACATTTAATCTACCTTGTTGGAAAGCTCCCTTTTCCCATTTTAGGTTCTGAGACTCCTGAGGACTCCCTTTTACCTTGGGGAAACCTTTGGGACCTTTGGGACACCAGGCCTGTCTTTAACAATACAAAAAAATCACTGTGAAATCACCATCAGCTCTGCAAATTCTATCTGCATCCTGAGGCTTGTGTGTGTGTATGTGTGCCTGTGTGTGTGTGTGTATGGGGAATAGGAAACTTTGCATGAGTGTGAATTAAATGTTTCCAGCACCCAATTTGGGTTATGACAGCACAACCAAATTCTACTCTGCATCCTGAGGCTTGTCTCTCTCTGTGTGTGTGTGTGTGTGTGTGTGTGTGTGTGTACGGGGAATAGGAAACTTTGCATGAGTGTGAATTAAATGTTTCCAGCACCCAATTTGGGTTATGACAGCACAAAGTTACATGACAGGATTTTGCCCATTCTGTCAAGACAATTTGGCTTTTGCCCTTTTTAGTTGCTCTGTCTGAAAAGGTGTTGTATCCAGGGTGGAGCTATAAAATACAGAAGATCAAGTGTTCCAAAGTAGGAAAATGTCAGGTGTTGTCCTCTATATATAGATGATGATGTGCTAGGAAGCAAAGTCTGTAAGTCCAGAAATTCTCCCTTGTCCCCAATATTCCTGGATCCGATGTTAGTTTTGTCCCACTCACCAACTAATCAGATAGGCTAATGTCCTGAATTCAGTCCTTTGGAACTGGTTGTTCCAACTCCTTAGTCAAGAGATAATGGAGTTCTGATTTCTGAAGAATGTACATAACTTGATTGTTGTTTTGCCTTACTAAATAGATAGCATCCTGGATGTCTCCACTCAATAATATAAATTAGTCATGATTTATAATATCCTGAATTCAATCCTTTGGAACTTGTTGTTCCAACTTCTTAGTCAAGAGATAATGGAGTTCTGGTTTCTGAAGCATGTACATAACTTGATTGTTGTTTTGCCTTACTAAATAGATAGTATTCTGGATGTCTCCACTCAATAATATAAATTAGTCATGATTTAATGTCATCATTAAGATCTGTGAGAGATGTCCTGTTTAATGCACTTGGTCCTGCCAATCATACTTCTCATATGGGTGACTATATTCATAAGATGTACACAAGTTGTGTAGTGGTTGGATTCCCAGGGATTTCATTCAGGATTGCTGACTGGTGGTTTGAAAATAATTCTGACAAGTAAGCTCTGTAGATTTGAAGGCTGGTGCAGAACTGCCACAGGAGTCTTGCTGAGGGCCTTTGCTTCTTTGTTCATCATAGGCAGCTTTTCCTAATTGCCCTGTTGCAGTTAGATGGGAGATGGAAATTCATGAAAAATGGAATGTATTGTACATTCCACTGTTCATGGTTTTGGAGGAGGTTTGCTCTTGAAAAATGATTGCTTTCTTGATATTAAAAGCCATGACATGTGGAGGACACCCTAGGTAGTACCCATGTTTCTTGAGTTCACCAGTTCTTTTTTTGATATATTTCCTTGGTATCCACATGCATCTGATGCTGTCAGCCAAGGGATATAAAATATTTCACTTTGTATGTTTGAGGTAGGAGGCTTTTCAATTTAGTTCCAATTTTCCACTAATTCATGTTGTCGCCAGGAGATATTGAAAGTCCACCACGAATATATAGTATAGCTCATTGCTGTTTGACTCATAACTTCGATGGAGATTATTTCTTGAAAAAAATGTCATTTTATTGAAATAACATTTCTTAACATTAAGAAATATTTTCCCTCATAGGCACACTTGGATGTAAACCATTTTGAAATAAATGATTAGATTTTGCTCCCTAAAAATAATTTATCACTTCCCCGAAGCCCACTAAGATTTAATTAAAACGTAATTAAAATAAATAAATAAAAAGGGATGTGGTGACGCTGCGGGTTAACCGCAGAAGCCTCTGTGTGCTGCAAGTTTGGAAGACCAGCAGTCGTAAGATCGAATCCACGCGACGGAGTGAGCTCCCATCGCTTGTCCCAGCTCCTGCCAACCTAGCAGTTCAAAAGCATGTAAAAATGTGAGTAGATAAATAGGTACCACCATGGTGGGAGGATAGCGACATTCCGTGTCTAGTTGTGCTGGCCACGTGACCACGGAAACTGTCTACCGACAAATGCCGGCTCTACAGCTTGGAAATGGGGATGAGCACCGCGTCCTAGAGTTGGACAGGACTGGACTAGATGTCAAGGGGAACCTTTTCCTTTACCTTAAAATTAAAATTAATTGAATAAGTAGTATAAATTAAATAATTTATAAAATAATGAATTATTAAATTAAATCAAATGAATTATTAAATCAGCTTTGAGAATGATGAGCTTTAAAAGTACTTAACAGGAATTGTCTGCTTAAATAACAAAGATTGGGAAGGGTTGCATAATCAAGACAGTTTGTAAGTTCTATTTGGATAATGACAGGCCCATACATGGAAAAATGCTTGAGGACTTTCCTTCCAAAGATATTTGGATACAATAAGGGCAATAGCACTAATAGAAAAATTGACTACTCATCTTAGACTGCTTAGAAGAGAAATAAAAGAAGATAATTTCATTAAAATTTGGCATTCTTTGTTGGTTTTTGGGTTGGAATTAAATAGAGAGGGTGATATTTTGAGAAGTTGGCTGGAATATTAGTCTGTTCCCTTTTATGTTTGATAGAATTAATGTATTAAGAGACTGTAGGAATAGACTATATTATTGTACTGAACAATATACTGCTATGTGATTATATTAGGTTATAGAATAAGATAAAAACCTGTATAGAAATAAAAAGAGAGTACAGTGAAAGGATTTTTTTAAATAACAAAGGAAGGGAAATGCTGGGAAAAAGGATTGTTATTAAAGGTAATTAAAAGTGTCCTGTTGTATCAAGTATGGTGTAGTGGATAGAGTGACAAACTGGGACTCAAGAGAGTTCAAATCTCTGCTTGGCCATGGAGACTCACTGAGTATGTGTGTGCACTGGTAAAACCACTCCTTAAACATCTCACTCTCCTTGAAAACCCTATCAGAGTCACTCGAGTCACAAGTTGGATGTGACTCAACAACGCATAACATACACAAAAGTTTCCTCCTTCACACTGAAGTTCCTTTTCAGTCAACACTTAACACTCCATAAGCACTTCTCTTATTGAAGTAAGTAGACGATTGAGATAATTTAGCAGTTTCCTGCAGAATTTGGGTGGCAAATAATGAAATTGATTTTTTTTAAAAAATATAACAATTCTGGAGAGCACAAAGCAAGAGCATGGTGGAGCAGCACTTTGTCCACAGACCACACTTTGTCCACCCTGTGTATACATAGACACAAACAGCTGAGGAGAATCAGCCTAAGGGTGAGTTCATGATGGCTGGTCATGACCCTTGAAGATGGACGGTGTCCAGGTGATTTTAGACATTCACCCCAATTTGCCTAATTATTGAATTCTCTGTATATACTCCATTGCTATTTATCACCAGCAATGATAAAGAAAAGTTATATAGATTGATGGCATTTCAGTGCCTTTTTGTTACTTATTGGCTGAGAAGGATATTTTGATGCTTTCTTTTTCATATTTTTGTAAGCAAGACCTAGTATAGCTTTCTTGCACAATTCATGCCTCCCTCCAAGATTTCTGGAAAAAAAGACGTTGTTACTACTCTTGTTACCTTGTGCAAATATCTTCTTTGCACATTATAAAATCACCCTGAAATGATGTATGGATCAAATTCGTTACTCTTTTTTTCAGTATATAATTAAGCAACCCTCAGCTAGCTATTTTAGCCAAAGCCTATTCCTTCAAATATACAACTAGAAAAGTGCATTCCAGTCATCCTGTTAGATTTCCTCAATGAATTATAATTAAGGAAATTAACATTTATCTCACTGTAACAAGAAATGGTGGGCTGATTCATTCAGGTGTGTCCTGCCTCAGGTAATTCCTGGCTTAATGATTTATTGCAGAAATCACAGCTGTTTTTTTTTAAAAAACAAAGCATTTTATATTAACTAATCAGTTGTATTAGTAACCTATATATGATTTGGAATGGTTGTTTCATGTACGTATCTGGATGTTCTAGTGATTGATATATGTAGACAGATGCAAGCAGTCTACTTTTATAATACAGAATACATTTTCATACAACACCTTTATAGAACTCATAATTAAGCGGATCCAATGATGTAGTTCAATCTGCTGGTCGTCAACTTGTTAGACATCTATTCCTACTCAGGCTTATGGTGATTTAGAAAGCAACAAGATTGAGGAGGGCATAGGGATTAGACATGTGGCGAAATCCTGTTGTGTAAACCAAATATGCCAGAAATAATTAATTTAAATGAGCTTGTGAGCCTTGGAATGGAGGTAGGGGGAAGCAAAAGAAAAGCTTTTATGAGGAAGCTTTTCATTTGTCTGTGCACACTTAATCCCTCCCATCCCAGCCGCCCTTCCTCAGCCCATTCATGGATCCAAGGAAGTGATTTATTTGCCAATCTCCTGAAGGGGCTGTTTTATTAAGCCACTTCACAGTATTGGCAAATTAAAGGAAGGCTCACTTTTGGTTCATTTCCAGTGATCACATTTGCTGGAAATAGGTCAAATGAGAGCAATCTTATCTGCACCAAAAAAGTAGAAGCGTGTGATTAAGGCTAGAAAGGAATGAATTTTCTGGGGATGATTTAGTTTGTTCTAGAGATTGCATCATGTGATCTCTGTCAAAAGAAGTGAACCAAGCCATCCCTGCAACTGTTCAAACAGCCAGCTAAATGCCTGTTTGAATGTGCCTAATATCATTGAAGCAGGATACATATTATTAACTAATAACATTTGTTTTTCAGTTTTAGACAGGAAGGGACATGAAGAGGAAAGCACAGCAGATATCAAGATACAAAGGTGGGCATGAGTGTTCTTTTTATACGGACTCTTAAAATTTTTATTTTTTCTGCGTTGAAACACGAATATTGGTTTAGAAATCAACACAATACCTTCTGTCAGGATTTGGAAACATAGATTTCAAATAATGAGCCCCATGGCACTGTGGTTAAACTGCAGTACTAAAGTCAAGCCTCTGCTTGATTTCAAACCTGGGTTTGATTCTAACGAGTTCAGGTAGCTGGCTTGAGGTTGACTCAGGCTTCCATTGTTCTGAGGTTGGCAAATTGAATACCCAGCTTGCTTGGGGGGGGGGGCAAAGTCCCTAGAGTTTCATTCTTCAGGAAATGTTTAAATTGGCTTTCTGTTTTCAAAAACAAATAGGAAGGTTGTTTAATGCATGTTAAACCATGTTATCTGCACACATTTTAATGATAAATAACTATTTTTATTCATTTTTTCTATAACCAGAAGTTTATGATTCATTTAAACAACGGAACAATTGTTATTCCTTCCCATTGATGTTGGTAGTTGGGTACAGCACCACGAGTCAATGGGGATAAAATGGCAGTTCTAATTATTGATAATGCAGACATGCAGAATCACCTTTTCAAACTGTGAACCGTTCAGCCACCTCATGTCTTTTCTTCTTTTTCTTTTTCAGAATAAAGAGCATCACTTCTTTACACTGATGAAGAAAAAAATATAATTAGCAGAACAACTCTGAACTATTCAACAATCTTCTCATTAAACTAGTGCATTTCTCCTCTGCAAACTGTTACATACATATGGCAAATGGTTGTCACAAGACAGTGATACTCATGGACTTCAGAACAACTGTTCTTTGAGTCAAGTTTTGCATGTCATTCTTTTCCTATCAGTGTCTCTCAAATCTCTGTACTCCAGATGTATTGTGACTACAGTCCCCATCACTCTAGCCATACTAGGATGGGATGATAGAAGTTGTAGTCATGACACACCTGGAGAAACCAATTTGGGGAAGACTGCCTCATACAAGGGTCTGTTGAATGGGGGACATAACAGTAACTAAGTCCCTCATGCAGTCAATTGATTTACTTCGGAATCAGTTTCCGTGTCCTTTATATGCTGAAAGGTACATAGTGCGATTGGAACCTGTTTCTCCATGAATGCATTTCCGTGGTGCTGCTGTAAACGTCTGAAGACCCATGACTTGCTAGGCGATGGATCTAGCTAGGATCTCTCCTACAGAATCAGTAACTCTCATTTAATGGATTGCTAATTCAGTAGAGAATCAGCTCTACTTTTAACCATCAAGACCGTCTGGAAACAACTTTAAAAGACTAGAATTCCTAGAATCCCCATCCAGGAACTGTAGTAAAAGAAAAATATTTCCAAGGTTGGCTAACAACCTCATGGGAAGAACCTGTGGAAAAGCATCTTTCACAATGCTATTGTGTTATATTGCAAAGTTTAAAGGGCACCAAAGAAATTCCACTGTGTGCCCTACTTGGTATGTTTTGTCTTGCGTTTGAAGATGATTCCATGAATGTCTTTGTTTAAAAATATAACTAAATAACATTATGTAAGAACGTCCCAGAAGCTAATTAATAGGACAGATTTTATATGAATTTTTAAAAGATATTTTGACAATATTTTAAAACATGTTTTTGCTGTATGTTTTCTATGACTTGGTACTTCTTATTATCCCTCCGGTCCTGCCATGGATGGAAACCGAGTCCTCTGACTGTTCTCAGTTTTATGGGACAGCTTAGATGTGTTTAAGAAGAGATTGCATGCATTGTAATTTCTGTGGTTCGAGTCCCAAACACCCTGATCAGGAATACGTTCTACGGAATTCTGAGGGGCTTAGTATTGATTAAATGTGTCCCTTCTTTCTTCTCGTCTACAGAACTGTGGGAGCTTTGTTCTAAACTCATTGCTCCTCCACCTACTTCCCAGTGTCTAAGCTGGTACTGTTGGGACTTTGGTACCAATACCTTTGTATGTACAGAGGCACCATGTGCAGTGGCAGCCAGTGACTACATCCTGCCATGTTTCCCTACCTGCCCTCTTGCACAAACTGTACCTCAGAGTGGGTCAAAATCAAAATTCTGCTGTTTATTCTGGTGGAAGGAGGATGCAGGAAAGCTCCTGAAGGAAGAGGGAAAATGGCACAATAGTTGCAGTGCCTTAAAGCATTTAAAGTTGTTGGCATACCATTTCCGAGAAACAACTGTGCTATGATCCATGTGCAATAGTTGGCCACTTTATTGGTTCTATCCAGGAGTCATCTGGGCCCTTCCATTAGGGACAGCTTCTCTCTACAAAATTGTGCAAGGATAATTGTCCACCTCCCTCCAGCACCTATGCATGTACCTTAAAGCCCTGCTCTGAAGAAGGTGTTCAGTGCTGCAAAGGGCTGCTGGTGGAACAGGGGAGGCCTACAGATGCTGTTTCCTTATACCTAAATAAAATTTTGTTTTGTAAATAATCTAGGCTGCAATCTGATACATACTTATGTACAAATAATTCCTACTGAATACAATTGGACTGTTCTTCACCTCCCTACATTCTCCCCCCCCCATTTATTTGACCTTGCTAATCAGTTGCTTTTTAATGTATTCTTGAACTATCCTACACACTACACAAGAACACAGACAGAGTTCTAACTCCTGTCCTCTGAAGATGCCGGCCACAGAGACTGGTGAAACATTAGGAAGAAAAACTTCTGGAACATGGCCAAACAGCCCGAAAAATCTACAACAACCAGTTGCTTTTCACTTTTCATTACATGATCAAAGTATCCTAGCTTTCAGCATTTTATGTGTTTTATCATTCTTTGTTTCTCTTAGTATTTCCTTACTGGTCATCCGCTTATTGCAAAATATTGTTTGTATCCTCCGATAAACCTACACTTCAAATGTTTCTATCTTTTTAATAGCTGCCCATGTTAAAGTCCACAATTCCACGCACTCGAATATAGAACCATACAGCACACATTCTCAAAATTAATTTTAAGTTTTAGTTGCACATTTGGATCTTTTATTTTGAATCTTTAATTGCATTTCATGAACTGATTGCTTTCTACTGATTGCCATGAACTTGGTTTATTAACATTCACTTTTAGAACATGTTCATTACTTAGTTTATTGACTTTACCAGGCAACAATTGCAAGCCACCTAAACTGTCAGCTAGTAATAGGGAATTTTTGATGTATCAGATGTAGAAATCTTTCTTTTGACAATGATGCTGTCGTTTGAATCAGCAAGTGCTTTTCCAAAGATGTTCTGAGTTCAGATTGAAAGGTAATGGTGACAGCATAAATTCTTTGCCAATTAAACAAATATCTCTTGAATCAGGATATCTGTTTACCAAGAATTCAGAGTATTTGACTTTTTTCAAAGGCTTTCTCGCATTCAATGAAATAAACATAGATGCATATCAAGGCATCTCTTCCTGAGTATATGAAGGCAGAACTATGATACCCTGACTCCTGATCATTTTCTGAATCTAAATTGTGCATCTCCTGCTTCTTCTTTGCACTTGGTGTAAATTTTGTCATGAATTATTTATATAAATAATGACTTACACAAATGTCTCATAAAGCTTATTGTCCTGTAGCCACTGCAAGTTTTTGTTACTGCTGGTCACCAATACTTCTGTCAAAGCATGTAGCTTTGAGTTATCTGAAGCTGCAGGTTTTTGATGCCTTCATGGCTCCCTTCCTTAATGACATTAAGTATGATTGGATCTTTTAGTTGTTTTTCATGTCTATTTTTTTTAAAAAATATTTTCTTTCATTTGAGAGAATGATAGCAACAACAGGATTATAATACAAATTAATATCAAATCTGAGATAAATTTTCACTAACACAACGCTATTACAAGCCCACATCTCCCTCTATGAGCCTGCCAGGACATTAAGATCATCAGGGGAGGCCTTTCTCTTGGTCCCACCACCCTCACAGGCCTGTTTGGTGGGGACACAGGAGAGGGCTTTCTCTGTTGCTGCTCGCAGACTCTGGAACTCCCTCCCATGGGAAGCCAGGCTGGCCCCATCTTTGTTGTCCTTCTGCAAGCAGGCAAGACCTTTCTCTTCAGACAGGCTTTTCCTTAGTGACTGGCAGTCTGAGAGGGGGTTTGTGCTCTGCTGCTTTTAAATGTATTTTTAGCATTGATTTAATTTACCATTTTAAATATGATACTTGTTTAATTCTTTTTTGATTAATGTATACTTACTGTTTTCAGCATTTGTATATTGTACTTTTAATGATGTGAGCCACCTTGGGTCCTTTCGAGGAGAAAGGCAGGATAAAAATATTTCAAACAAACAAACTTCATTATCCCTTATTAATGACAATATAATATATTTGGTTCCTTCCAGTATTGTTGTTACTGCTGCCTTGTATGCAGTCCCCATGGTGGTAATTTGATGGTGGTGTTGGTGAATTTGCAAAATTGTGTAATTCATTTTCTATGTTCATTCCATGTTCCTAATTTCTATTTTCCAATAAATCTTGGAAGGTTGCTTTCCCTATCTTAACATTTTAAAATCTTTAATATGAAACTTAGATGCTACTTTTTCATATATTTTGCAGCTGCTTATAATAGCCATCTCCTACGCTGAGAACTAAATATAGTTTGCCAATCTCTTCAGAATGGTAATATTTACAAATATCTAAATATAGTCCTTTAGGACTAAGTGCCACAGAATCTCCATCACTTTTGGAAACACTCATTAAGTAAGTACGGGAAAAATAATAGAATAATTCTTCTAAAATATTTGTTGTGAGTTAATAAATATACTATGGGAAGGTCTGGGGAGTGAATGGGACAAAAATTGGATCACTTAATTTTGCCAAACCAAAGGACGGTGACATTGCATTTCATACCTGATGTATTTGTGGAGCTGAAGCTGTGACATATATAGCAAAAATCATATTTAGGATAAACTGGATACCACACCCCTTTCATCTGATGGCACTGCAATCAATCCAGTGCATCTCTTAAAAACATATTATATGGTCATGTCCAGTCAGGTTGTTTTTTGGGGGGAAAGATGTTCCTTGTATTCATTTTATACTGGATCATTCTCTGACTTTTGCTGATATTTATGTGCTTTCAAATTATTTTCTCTTTCCTGGAAGTTGGTCACTGGCCAGTAAAAATGGATGATCACTGTGAGTAAAAGACTTACATTACAATATTGGAAGGATATAAGCCCATTATCTATATACTGTATTCAATGGCTCATACGGACCTTACTACTTTATCAACATATGAGTGCATAGCACATACACACCAACTTTGTATAGATGCATTTTTAGGCATTTGAAAGTGTTTTAAGAAGTTTTTCTATACGGATCTTTTAATTCATACCACTGTACTTTTGTTTTCCATTTCCTTTCCAAATATTTTTGTTCATGTGTTTTGTTTCTTCCTTATTTAGCGTAATAAATGTGAATATTATTTTCAAAAACCGATTTGTGTTCCTCCCACAATTTTTCCATGCTTTCTTCATCTTTATCAGTAGTTGGGACATATATTTACAGCTGATTTCCATAGGATATCAAAGTTTACAGATCAAAGTTCAAAATGGCTGCACTTAATGTTTTCAGTTACCATGATTTCAACCTATACAAGAGGAATGTGGTAAAGGAAGACAGGCCTATGCGGCAGGCAGAGGAAGGAAGAAAGAAGTCAGCAACCACAAAAAGGAACTCATGGAAAAGGGATAATAAGAAATGTGAACTGTTGTCGCTTTGTGCTGTCAAGCCAATTCTGACTTAAGGTGACTCTATGAATTAATGACCTCCAAAATGTCCTGTCATTAATAGCCCTGCTCAGGTTTTGCAGACTGAAGACCAGATCTGCTGCAGCTTCCACTTTTCCAGCTGCCTTCAACATTTGCCAAGATTATTGTCTTTTCCAGCGATTTTGTCTTAATCTGTGCCCAAAGTACAATAGCCTTAGTTTAGTCATTTTCATGATTAGTGAGAGTTTGAGTCTGATTTGATCAAAACCCATTTTATGTATCTGCATTTTCAGAGACCATAGGATCTAATAAAGCTCTTTTCATCTTCTGAATCATTTTTTTCTATTTAAGCTTTTATCATTGTCTGTCTTTCACGTTTGTAGATAGCATAAATACCAGAGCATGGGTGATCCATTCTTGGCCTTAGTCTCCGAAGACACCTCCTTGCACTTAAGGATCTTTTCTGGTTCTTTCATAGCTGCTCTACCAAGTTTCAGTTGCTTCTGATTTCTTGGCTTCAGTCTCCAAATTGATTGCTATTTAACCACAGTTTAGAAAATCTTTAACCATTTCAATTTCTTTTATCATCAAAATCATATAATTCTTCCTTAGTAATTATTTTTGTCTTTATGTTAAACTAACCTTCCTTTTGCCTTTTTTTCTTGAACATTTACCAGTAGTCATTTCATTATATTTTCTCCCAGCAATATGTCATCTGCATATTTTAAATTATTGTTGTTTCTTCCTCCAGTTTTCTCTCTTCCTTTATCTGAATCTAATCTAGCTTTCCATATAATATCTGCTAAATACAGATGAACAGATAAGGAGATAAACTATAGCTTTGTCTGACAGTTTTGCCAATGGGAAACAGTTCTATTTAGTAAAATAGTTTAGAGAAGTTGAAGAGGGATTTAATACTTAGAGGTCATGCATGTGACTGAGTAATAATTCATGGCTCTGACAAAGGGTTGTAAGAAGGGAAATTAGGGTGGGGATTATTTTGGAAAAAGCAAAAAGCAGTTTCTAGGAAAAACTGTGGAAAGAAAGCCAAAGAGGGCTAGCATAATTATCAAGAGGGCCAGACATACTCTGCATGTCCTCCCAATGCGAGTGCCATATTTTGTTAAGATACAAAATTCTGCTTCTTTGTAGCATAAAATACTTGGCACAAACCATATACACTGTATCCCTGAAAATAAGACCTATCCTGAAAATAAGCCCTAGTATGATTTTTTCAGGGTGCTTGTAATATATGCCCTACCCCCAAAATAAGCCCCAGTTAAGTGAAACCCCACCCTACAACCTTGTGCAGGAACCAGAAGAAGATGACATGACTATATTTGCATAAATGTAGGTTGTTGTATATGAAAAAAATAAAAATAAAACATCCCCTGAAAATAAGCCCTACTTTTTTTTTTTATGGAGCAAAAATTAATATAAGATTCTGTCTTATTTTCGAGAAAACATGGTAGTAACTCCCACAGTGATCTGTGGCCATATTTATAAGTCTGAAGTACTGTAGAGAACATGATAGCTCATACCAGTGGTTCCTGGAGAAATGGCCATGAGCACTAGCAATCAGAATGAGCCTTTCTTTGGCAGGATAGTTGCTGACACCCATATGTTCAAAAACAACTGTTTCTGTAGCTTGGATAGGGCTCAATTGATTGGTGTGATTATTGCTGGCCACTGAGACCTACTAAGAATAATAACAGGAGGTTTTGAAGGACCAAAC